TTCCTGTCACAGATGAAAACGGGAACCGCCTGGGCGAGTCGGCAAACGCTGCCAAACAAGCCATCACGCAAGTAGTCGTCTCCAGGATCCTCATGGCAGCCCCCGGCATGGGTGAGTAGAGCTTTGCCATCCATTCATTTATTCGGTACGTTTCCATCAAACAAGCATTGGTGCACCAGTGAGCAATAACCGCAAAGGATCCCTTCCCTTAGTGGAACTTACTTTCTGGCGGGGGAGGCAGAAAACTATCAAAAATAAGTAAAATATGAATATGTGAGGTGGTTATAGAGCTAAGGGGGGCGGGGAAGAGGGTTGGGGATCTTGGGGTGGAAGTGTTATCGAACGTAAGTCTGTGTGCCCGACATATAGTGAGGCCAAACGATACCAAAATGTTGGAGTTCGGAGCAGAGAAAGGTTTATGGCAGGGCCATGCAAGGACAGCGGGTGGCTCATGCCCCCAGAAACCCCTGAAGGGTTTCAGCAAAGCATGTTGAAAGGCCAGGTGAGGGAGCGGGGGACACAGGGTGTGTGATCAACTCATGCACAGTTCTCTGATTGGTTGATGGCGAGGTAACAGGACAGTTAACGTTATCAGTCCTTAGGCACCAGAAGGTCTGGGGGCTCCGTGCTCGTGATCATCAAGCAGTTAATTTCTTCCATTGGGTGGTGGTTTTTAGCATCTGAAAAACTCGGGAAATATCCATGAGGCACTGTTAGCTGGGTACTTCAGAGAGGAGATGCAGCAGAGCATATGGGGAAGGGGTCTGTCCCAGGAAGACTCCGTGCGGTCCTGCTTGGTTACAGAAGTAGACTGGACAGATGGGAGCGAGGGAGCCAAGTGGTTCCAGGGTCGAATATTCTGGGCAGACGGAACAGCAGGAGAGCAGGGAGCTGTGCCCAGTGTGATGGAAGCGTCACAGGAGGCACGTGCAGCGGGAGGAGAGAGAAGGGGGTGGGAACAGTAGAAAGGAGTAGACGAGGCCCCAGTGGGCAGAACGCAGATGGCCCTGAAAGCGTTTGGAGCCCTGGCTTTTAGTCTGAGGGGTAGGGGGCCGTGGAGGGTTTCGAGCACAGGAGTAGTAATAATAATCCGGCTTCGGTTTTAACTGAGTGACTCAGGGTCCTGTGTTGAGCGTAGGCTGGAGAGGGACCAAGAATGGTGGTTGGAGACTGTTCAGGAAGCTGTTGACTACTGCAGGCAAGAGATTATGGTAGTTGGACCAGGGCAGTGACAGTGAAGGTGATGACAGTTTGAAGGGAAAGAATTTGATCTTTGTAAATCTTGAAAAGAAACTTCCAAAAGTTCTTGAGTAGGAATAACTTCTACTGAAGATTTATTTGTATCAGCTGGAAACCCTTAGAGCATGAACCAAGTTGGGTTAGTTACCGCAGCTATTAATATGTGACTCAGTTTTGTCCCTAGGGCTTGGACTCAACATAACCAAAAGCAGAAAATCTCCATTGTGATTTAGTTCCTCTGAGAATCTCTGGTCCACTCGTAAGGCTTCTTCAGCTACCCTCAGACCGGGGCTCTCGAGAAGGTTCTCAGACTTACTCAGAAACCAGAGGGCCCGGGAGTACATAACTCTTTTGCAGAAAAATATAAATATATATTTTACAGAGAGAAATGAGTATGTTTACTTTCCTTGTCTCAATCAAATGCAAACAGCACTTGGCTATTACCTGAACTCTCAAAAGACGCATACTTAATCAAGTGCCGTCAGGTTCTCTCACTAATGTTTTCTGTTGTCTTTAAATTCCTTTTGCCACTGGGAAAGCTCATCAGCAGACAAGTAGGAGTGGGCAAAGGAAAGTTGAAGAAAAGGGCATGAAAGAAAACTCTGAGGCTCATATTCCAGCCAATTGCACTCCAGCTAATTGGTTATCTGATTTAACCACCATTAAGTGATTTAACAAAGAAGCACCTCAGTGCCCTCATGAGACAGCGGTGTGCACCGTAGGGGTGAGTGAATGGTGGAAACCACAGTCGTGAACTGTAGGCCAAGAGTCCCCTGAGTCCGGGACCAGCACGTTGTCACCAACCTACGAGGAGGCTGGGGAGGCCGCCCCAGAACACCTGCTGAGCCCAGATTTCCAGTTTGCCGAAATCAAGGTGGCCATTCCGGCTTCTACCCTGGGTGGGCTTTTGGTTTTGTTCTTTCCCATTTTGAAATAAGGACGCTCCTCTTTGAAGCTCAGCCAGCCCAACAAATTTGTTTCCAGTGGCTTGGTTGCTTTAAACATTATTTAGTCCCCGGAGAAGGAACACAATCTTTCTATCCCAGCGATATCTCTAAAGGTAATTGATATATTGAAATTGATGTGACAGTTTAGTCTGATAAAAATCATGAATAAATGAACTAACACTATCCAGTGTTTTACGTGCATCATTGCATCTAATCATCCTGGCTAGTTTAATACAATTGTGCCTGTTATATAGATGAGGAAAACAGAAAACTGAGGCTCAGAGAAGTGTTTTCCAGGATCACCCAGCTAGCAAGTGGTCTGCGTGACTTAAAGCAGGAATCTTTATACTGGACTCTACGTGGGAATGGACACCCCGGGAAGGCTGCAGTAGTTGTTTCATTGGTATAGGAGGGAGAAGTTCCTGACGTTTGTACTGTTGCATATTTAATGTTAGATATAAAGTTCTCTTCAAGATCATAAAATTTTCTGGCTGGCAAAGAGCATTGTGTTATTTTTCAAATATCTAGAGAATGGAAACAATGGATTTTTTAAAAAATACTAAGGTATTTTAAAGAATTATTGTAATTACTTTTACTCTGCCAGTGTGAAAATAGCCTAAAAGTAATATAAGCCTTTTGTGAAATTGTTGGGGGAAACAAAAAAAAAGTGAGCTGAAAATAGACATGAAGATTTAAGTGGATCTGTCTTTACTTCCAGCCATCCCTCCATTTATCATGAACACTTTGGAAAAGAAAGCCTTTCTCAAGGTAAGCCCCAATTCTGTTTATCCTGTCTCAATCCTTTCAGTTTGTTTTCAGACTTCAAACTGAAATATTTCCCACATGAATAGTGAGTAAAGAATTTGAAGGCCAGTGGCAATTGGGCACTTCAGGGAATATTTTATTTCTAATATCAGATATTTGAAAAAGCTCTCATAAATCTTCATTTACTGAATGCTGCCCACTCCTCTTGAGAGGTTATAACCCAGGTACACATTCATCGTCGTCATCAGTCGGATCCCTAGCTAGGTAATAATGAAGAGATGGTGTGAATTTGGAATGATTTGTTTGTAAGTCCCGATACATACTATCAGAAAGGAAAAAATGATCTGGAGTAGTAGCTTCACAGAACGCTGAATTTAGTGCCCTGATGCATTTTTCTTTGGTGATCATATATAATAATCTATTAATCTATCAGCCTCCTCCCCTCAGGGTCTGAAAATATTTTACGATGAAACTGTCACTGAGAAATCTCTGTGCGTTGTCTGCATTCTTTTTGTAACTTCCATGATTTAATGCAATCATATTTATGCTTCATCTTAGCTTTCCAGTTCTTGTAACAAGTAGGAAAGAGT